CTGTTCCTCTCTGAAGAGCCTGTCCTGCCATCATTGAGAGCAGAATGAGCAAAAATAAATACCCAGCCATCCAGAGCAGACCAAGGGCTCAGGAAGAAGAGTCTGCAGCCAGGTGACCACCATAGCACGTCTTACAAATGTTATCTAGCTCTCAGTCCTACGATCTAGAATATGAGACAGAGAGAAAAATCTATGGTGCTTGGGTGTTGGAGTAGCCAGAACTCCAGTGAGTTAACCAACTCTACCACTTAGTTATGGTTTCTTAAAGGCAGCCTCTTTACTATGCTACTTCAATTTAATGCTCTCTTTGAAAAGTGATAGCTAACCCAGAGCAAGAGAACGCAGACAGCAACAACAGGCTCATCTCTCTAGCTTTAGTCATAGCTCAGTCCCATACACTTTCTCACCTCCAGCCCCGGATGTTCAGAGTCTCTTATTTTGGAGTGAGACCCAGCTGGGGCTTGAAACTTGCACCAGACGTTCTGTAGCATTAGCAGATGGTGGAATCCTCCAGGAAGTAAGTCTACTGTGGGTTTTCTGTTCCCTAACCAAGTCTTTTAAACATAATGTGCTTTCTCACGGCTCACTCAGCCTTCCCATTCCTTTAATCAATTTCTCCCTCTCTCAATTCAAGGAAGAATATGTGAGACAGATGGGGGGATCACAGTCTCATCTGTCCCATGTACACTGGGAGAAGGCAGTACTCTTGCAAGATGATTACACCTGTAATCCCAGCACTCAGGAGGCTGAGGCAGTAGGATCTTGAGTTTGAGGCCTACCAGGCTATATAGGCTAGTTCTGCACTGCATTGTGAGACCTGTCTCAAAAAAACAAACAAAAACAAAAATCCTCCTTTTTTTTTTCAATTCTTAATTTCAAGACAATTATAATCTTTACCAATCCATTAGCAGGCACATAAAACCTGTTAGATATTTCCTGTGCTTCTATAGACATTTTTTAGCTGTTTAGATTTCTTAAAAATAATAAATATGGAAACATTCCTTCAAAAAGAGAAAAAAAAAATCCCTGACAAAACCAAAAGTAAGTTTTCTTTGAAGCAGTTGCTCCTCAAAATGGGAATTTGTCTTGGTTTTTGCTTGTTTTGTTTCTGTTTACTCTTGGGCACCCTGTATTTCTCCTCTCTACTCAGATGCCTGGTCCCCACTGGTTCTTTGAGCTCTCAAAAATCTGTCCCTTAACATCCCTTGTCCTTGAGTTAGCTAGCTTTCATTTCTTTCAAAGTAAAATTATTAACCAATCCAGTGGGCCTCCATATTGGTTCTTCTCTTGTACTTGCAATTGCTAGAGAAATGGTTACCTACAGATAACAATCATCCAAATGTTATCACCCAGATAAATTTTTCAGATCAGTAAACTGGAATTTAGGAAATGAGGAAGAGTTATAGATTCAATCAGTGTTTCAGCAGCATTAAGACTGTGATATGAATTCAGCTACAAAGAAGCGTGCACTTGTACGAATCTGTCTGCAACACTGAGGGTCAGGACTGTGACAATATAATTCTACCCAGGGCTAGCTTTAATGAAGGGATACATTCTTTTAGCTTCTGCTCCGATAGCTTTGTAACTTCATAAGACATAAAGACCACTGGAACTGAGATGCTTGAGGAAAGGGGTAGGGACACAAGTCAGCAGCTGCGGGGACAGAGTTGACTATAGTGCGTCTTATATATTCTTGTATCTACAAGGGCATTCGAATGCTCTTCTAAACACCTTTACATTTCATGTGCTTCACAGCAGTGCCAGGTCAAGGTACAAAGGTACCTGTTCTGCATTTTACTGCTACTGATACTGAGCTTCAGGGAGATGAAGCTCTCCCAGGGTCCAAGGCTGAAACCCACACAGTTCCTTATAGAGGAACAGAGGGGCAGGAAGAGTACTTTATTGACCAAAAGGACCAGCAGTACATGAGTGAGGGATTGTAGAGTTTTATCAGTAGCTGTTGTGGAGGTTGTCCACCTCTGAGGTCCTGGGATGAGCCACTTACCTTTAAGATGCAGCAGCTGAAACCCTCACTATGTGCCAATAAATACATCGCTAGAATTCTCAAGACTTAATTTTTTCTGTCCTCACACATCATTGCCAGCAGGTTCTCTCAGACCACTTGCATATTCTTGCCTGTTCCATTGTGATGATCGGTGTCCAGCATGCAAAGGTAGGCCCTGGCATAGTCATAATTTCTTTTCAAGAAGGATGACTGATTACAACTTCTCAGGGATACACATACGTAAATCAGAACACAAGGTCATTGTCCAGTGATGAAAAAGAGACTTGTTAGATTGAAATACAAATCTGAAGCTAGGTATGTGTTTCCTTGTCTCCCTTTTTTGATATACTGTAACTGGTTTCTGAATATGTCCTTCATACCTATGGAGAATATTTGTCTGTTCATGGTGTTTGAGATATTACTATATTATGTAATAGTCACGATAAATATTTGATTGAATAAAAGGATGGATAGATCATTTTTTAACACAGGTGAGCAATTATTATTTAGTGGAGGAAAATAGAAACTGAGGGATATTATACTAAAATACTAGAGGAACAAATCTCTGGTAGTGTTATCTCAAGTGCTTCAGTGAGGAATTTGTGCTTTTGTACTATGTAAAGTCACTTGTACGATGTCTTGCATGTAGTTCCGAACTGTTTGCATGCTGTTCAAAGAATTGTTCTCCATATAGATTGGTTTGTGTGCCTGCATTGTTAAAAATTCAATTTTAAGTAACAGCTGAATTAGTCAGCGATTGAAGCTTCTCATCAACGTTCAGTATAGGTGAAGGGAAGTAGCTTGCAATCATTCGTATGTTTAAAGCAGGAAGCCAGACGGATCTTCTATGCATATCTTGCAAAAAATAAACTGAATATTAATATTTTTAAAAGATGTGGGATGACATCTGGTTGTCTGAGGGTAAAGGTCAAGCAGAGAACCAGGTGTCAGTGAACGTTTAATGAGAGGGGCCTGAGAGGACCAAGTACTCTGTAAGGTGTTTTGATTCAACAGACCTGATACATAAAAGCCCTTGGAAAGTGTTAACGTAAGACGCGCCAGACCAAGCTACCTAGCTGATTGGTCAACTGAGAAAACTTTTATACTTTTCTCGGGTTTTGGTTTTTCAATGATGAAATCTAAAATAAGGACCAAGAATTCTACCTTCCAGAAATAACTTACTGTAGCCAACCCTAGTGGAAAAGAGTTTTCTTTAGGTTTTGGATTGCTCCTTTTCCTTTCGGCTTTCAGAACCGAAGTGCGTTATTGGAGTGAAAAATAGAGGCAGTTTGGAAACTGTCGTCGTTGTAAATTCCAGCCCCATAAGACAGGCGTCTGGCTGCAGCCCCGGGCGACGACTCGCTCCGAGCAGCGTCACCCAGCGGGCAGAGGCGGCGGCGGCGTATTCACGGCCGTCCTCCTTCCGCAGCTTCGG